GGCCGGCGGGGCATGGCGCGGCGCTGAGATGAAAGTGACCGTGTGCTTCGGGCGGACCGGGATCGTGGTGCCCTGTAAGGACGGGCAGCTCCGCGTGCGGGACCTGACCCAACAGGCCCTGCAGCGCTACCGCAAGGCCCAGGAGAAGGTGAGCACGGGGGGCGGGCCGCTGCCGGGGGCCGGGGCCGGGCAGGCCGCCTGAGGGGTGCGGCCGGGGCCGCGCGGGCGGTGGGGCGCCGCGACCGCGCGGGCCGGTGCCCGAGGGCTCATCGCGTTCTCGCCCTGCGTGTTGACAAACAAACTCGGTACGGACGCGAACGGAACTCGCGCCGCTTCCATCCGACCCGTGCGGTCCCGCACTGGCTGCTCCACGCGTGCCGCCCGCGTCGGGAGGCGACCGCCGGCGTGTGCGAGGAGTTCTCGGGTTGTGCCGAAGAACGGAGAAATACCCTTCCCTTTGTGCCCCCCCCCCCCCCGGGCAGAGGCAGCTGCGGGGTTCCGCACGGCGCTGGTGGGAGGCCTGGCACCGCGCGCGGGACCTGCCGGCCGCGGGCCCTCGTGAGGCCTGGCACAGCTGCACCGGGCGCTGCTGAATGCCCCGGGCTGCTTTCTCCTCTGCCCGTTGCTGTGTGCTGGCCCCAGTATGGAACTGGGAGTAACAGTCTCGTTCTGCTTTGCAGTTTTATTCTGAGGGAAACTTCTACTAATGTGTTAGATCCGTCGCCAGCAGCTGAGTACAGCTGGTAGCAGTCACTGTCTGCAGTGCTTTCCGTGGCCTTAGCGTTTACAGCCTGACACGTTTTGTATAAAGATTTTCCAGTGAATGTTGTGTGTGTGCGCAATACCTGCAAAGCCTTGGTAGTGTTGTCATGCTGTTACGGCCAACTGCTGGTGCGATGTGCGCTGATGTGTGCCTCAAAACTTGGAGATGGGCATCTCACCGCTGCTCAGGAATGGGGTTTATCAGAAACCACCGTTATGGTTGAGGTGAATGTGTAAATTTCAGGTTTGCTCTGAGCCCATGCCTGTGACATGCTTGGAGTTAGTGCCTTGACGACAGCTGAAAGGTGGCCTACAAAGCTTTTGTATAAATACATCACCACCTCTGTCCCCACAGCCTCTTCTTTTCTTCTTGTTGGTGTTCCTTGTTGTTGTTTGTTTTTAAGGGACAGCAGGATCTCTGCTTTTGTAGGCAAGGCCCTGCCTGTTCCAGAAGACTCAGCAGTTAGTGATAGGGGAAAAAGCCGAGCATCTCAGGGGATGTGCAGTGTAATGTATCTGAGGGTTTTGTATCCAGTCTGTTATTCAGGTGGTAGTTGTAGATGATGATTTTCATGCTCAGCAGTCATCTGTTATGTTCAGAGGATGTGAGGTCTGAAGCATACAGTCTCCTGAGTAGGACAGCCAGAAGCTGCAGTTCACACTTCAGACATCATTGGTTCCCTGTTCTGCGTTGTGGATGGGTGCAGTAGGTACGGGCCTGTGTGGTCAGAAATCACTGATCGCATTGAGCAGTGGTCGTCTAGAACTTGCAGGAGGACTTGCAGAGAGGCAGGGAGGGGAGAAGCAGCCTGAGGGCTTAAGAAGTACAGAATGTGTTTTAGTTCAAGTCAATAAAAGTTGGGTGGCTTAATGTGCTCTCTCTCCCCCTTCTTCACTGGAAGCCTAAGCAGGTGTTTTCTGTTGCTTTTTTTTTTTTTTTTTTTTGCAGTGCTTTGATTAATTGCTCTGTATTCTACACAGTTTGCAGTGGAACTAGCCAAGAAGATAAGGAGATTGATTTTTGTCTTATCTCATCAAACATTATCTGGAGTTAGCGCTCTTTGCAGAGCTAAAATTTGGGGTTGGTTTGACGGTTTGTGCTCACTCCACAAACAGTTCATCTCATTGTCTTCTGCAATGTTTCCAGCCGGTGTGACAAGGAGGGGTGGGGTGCTCTGCTATTTTCTTTTTTTTCCCTACTTGTTCTATGTTTAAATTTTCAAAACTTAACATTTTTTTGTTACTACAACATAAACTCTCAAAGAATGGGAGACCCAGAGAATTTAAGGATAATCAGCTGAGATCTGTTCAGTGGTGTGGGTGCATGAACAGGTTTGTGTGAAAGATAACTGAAGATTTGTTTTCCTTTTCAAAATATTTAGAGTGTTTGGAATGCTTCCTGTGGCAGAATACTGCTGTTGCTGTTGGCACTTGGTGTGCTTTATGTAATTTTTGAGCGTTAACAACTTTTAAAAAACAAAGTGGAAAATGTTATTGTTACAGTGCCTGAAGAATTTGGAGAAGGCAGGAAAATGGGAATAAGGAACATTGGAACATCCCTCATAGCTGCAGAGTGAAAAATGAAGAAGGTAGCTAGGATACAAGCGTTGGGAATTTTGTCTTTGTTTTGGTACTGTCAAATGCCCCAGAAATGGTGTGAGAGGCTTTGTGTTTCAAGGGTTCTTCTGGAAGCAGAATTTTGCTATTACACTGCAGTCATGCAGTGGATTTCTCATGTCTAGTAGAGGGGAAGATGTGAGATTAGAATATTAATTCCCTTATATTGTAAGGTATTTGCATTTCTGTTTGTGATAGACTTTCAGTACTCGGCACCTCTTTACACTTGCATTGTTGAGACAACAAATAGCCAAGTCTTGCATTTCCATGAGACTTTTGGTAAATAGCTGAGTACTCAGCAACCAATGGCTTGTTGCAGCCTGCTGGGTTTTCTCAGCAAATTCCATTTGATTTCGTGGTGAAATTATATTGTGAGAGCTCAATTGCTGCCATTAACCAAAAAAAAAAAAAAAAAAAAAAAAAAAAGCGGGATCTTTGTTGCAGCTGAAGAACCCAACTGATTATTTTTTGCTGTTTTGGATCTTAGTGTGATTTTTAAGGTAGTGCTGTAGTTCTGAATGGGCACATCTCTGATTCTGGAGAATATAACTCTCTGCTGGGACAGCATCAACTAAGAGGATGTTTGCTCTGGGGCTGCGTGTTGTGAATTGGCTTGGATTTAAGAAAATATTTTGTTAATCATCTGCTTGTAGATAAGTTTTCAGTGAAGTGTCTCATCTCAGGAGGTAACTGTGTTTCAGTGCAGTAATGTTTGATGGGATCTGCAAGTTGGAATCTACTTCTGCTGTTGGGAAGTGTGTGTGCTCAGGCTTCCTGCTGGTAGGTGGATCCAGCAGCATTAATGATCCCTTGTCAGCCCAGTTCTCTGCTGTTTCTGATAGCTTGGTATTCTGTGGTGCCTTGGGGGAGCACTTGCTAGTTACTCATATTTAGTGTTCTTTGCTCAAGTGTTTCCATGTCTGTGGGCTTCCTGTTGGGAGGCTGATGTGGTCAAATATTAGTTGGACTGTCTTGAATGGGCTTGATGAACAGTTATGTTGGGCATTAGAGTGTGTGTTTCCACTCAAGAGGCTGTGCAAAAGCCAGCAGTTGATTCTGTGATGGTGGTGGTAGCTTCAGTTGGCAGTCAGACTGAATGGGAAGCAGTAATAACAGTGTCTGAGTTGATTTGAGAATGATGTGTTTGTGAGTGGAGGAAAAAATGGTGAGTTGCTTAGATGGTATTGGCTGTCTTCCCAAGTTAGATGGATTGGAAGAGCTGCAGGTTGACTGTCTAGATCACATTCTCGTTCTTGCTAAAAAAGAAAAATTAAAAATAGATCTTTTGCTTTCTCCTTATTCTTGTCTGCCCCACAACGTGATGGTTTTCTACAATGATGTACTGCTGCTGTAAATCAGCTAGCAGGCAGACGGAGCTGTAGTTTTCTTCCTGCAGTTTCTCTGAAAATGCTGAGTGGGGGGAGAGGGAAATGGCAATTTGCTTTTACTCAGAACTCTATGCTTACAAAAATGTTGGCAGAAACAGAATGTATTTCTTCAGAAGGTATCAGGTGTATGTGAGAACCTTCAGGTTTGTCTGCTGTGATAGCAGGCTAAAAAAGAACTCAACACGCTGCTTTTGCATTACAGTTGTGTGAGTTGATGGCAACTGACTCATGTCCAGGAAAGGAGTGCGTGTGAGCGGGAGGGGTAAAGAAGAGGAAGGAGGCGATTACTTCAAAATATTTTATATAACACTGCTACTGACTTAACCATGCTAGTGATACTTCATTTATACCGGAAATAACTTCGGAGTGATGGAAGAATGAGGGTTTGTTTGTTTGTTTGTTTTGGTAGGAGTTGTGTCCTTAACTTGTAACTGTCATTGATTGTGCAGGAGATACTTTTGGCAAATATTTTTGTCCTCAGCTGTTCCTGGATTCATTGTTGCAGTGTGGCTGTGTGGTGTGTTTCCGTCCCTAGGCTGGTTTGCCGCTCGGGTTCGGTGGAGCTGCTGAAGTCTTGGAAGTGGATCAGGTGAAAGCAAGGGTAGGAGTTTCTCAGAGTTGGTGTGTGTCTTTGTTTGTGGCCACGGCAGTCAAAATGGCGTTTTCACAGAGCCTGCTTTTAAAGTAGAACAGGCTGCCCAGGGGGGTTGTGGAGTCTCCTTCTCTGGAGATATTTGAGTCTCGCCTGGTTGCCTACCTGTGTGACCTGCTGTAGGGAACCTGCTTTGGCAGGGGGGTTGGTCTCGATGATCTCTAGAGGTCCTTCCAACCCCGACAATTCTGTGATTCTGTGAAAGTAGGCTCTTTTCCTGGCTTAAATAATAGCAAAACAAAACCATTTCATAGTTCAAGTAAGTTTCACAGTGTGTTTTTTATGAGTATTTCTTAAGCGATGACTTCACAGGAAACCAGATGCACTTGAGCTGGAACTTTATAAGTTATTTGTCCTAGACTGCTAATTTCACTTGCCCTCCAGATTTACAGGTTAAGAACTCATGAGTTTAAGCATGGAAGAATAGGATTGCTATAGCTGTGATCAGTTGGCAAAGACGTAGGAGCTCTGTCCTTTGAGCTGTATAAATACTTAATGCTCTGAGCACTGTGCTGTGGGTTTATTGCTGCTGATGGTGGCTTTCTATTTAATTAAATTATAAGGTGATTCTGAACCACTGAGAGTTAAAAGTGGCAGTGTTTTTTTTTTATCAATTCTGCACAAAATGTTGTAGTCTGCTTCTGTACTGCTTTATAGCCACTAGTGTTGATGTAATGATTTTTTGGTAGATTTCCAATCTCCTTTTCTCTTTTGAACAGGTGTTTATAA